CCCCAAAACCCCAAAACCCCAAAACCCCTGATGTTTAAAATAGATGTGGTTAACTCTATTAATTTAAAAGGTATATAAAAATAAAATGGGGTGTAGTTCAGCTAAACAAAAATAAGTAAACTCAGTCATTAAATTTTAAAACTTAGACAATGCTATAAATATTAATTCTGAGCTATGAGATTAGATTTCATCAAGGTCAAATCAAAGTTCATAGGAAAAACCTAGTCTATTAAATATTAATGGTAGCAAGTTGAATCTAAAGAACAAATAGAAAAGGAGAGATAAAATAGTTAAGGATAAGAAATCAGTTGAGACATAAGAACCAAGCTAGTTATTACCATCTTTATAAAGTGAGGATAAACAATCAAATAAAATTAACAACAAAATCATTTTAACCAACATACTTGAGGTTGAAAATGAGGAGGAGAATGAAATTGAAATACCTGATGAATTGAAAGGATTCAATCGATAGTTCTTGCAGTCAGTGAATAAATTAAGAACAAACCCTGAGTACTACATCAAATAACTATAAACTCAAATAGGTTATTATGAAGGACAGATCTTAAGATTACCTTAAAGTAACTAAGAAAATACAGAAAACTTAGAGTTGATTGATATTGTTACTTAAGAAGGAGTAGTTGCAGTTGAAGCTGCAATTTATGCTTTGCATCAATACAAGAAAAACATAAATGCACCTCCTCTTAGATATTCTCAAAAACTTTAAGAATTAGCATTAGCTGAAACTATAAGGATCAAATAAACTGATCAGACAAGTATTCTTAGTATGAACTATACATTAGAATACTGCAATACTAAAAACTTGAGGATTAATGGGGAAATTTTGAAAAGCTTACTTTTCAACCCTTCTAATAATCACGAGTAACTGCTTCTATAATTAATTATTGATGATGGAAATATCACTAGATCAAACAGATTAAACATTTTAAATGAGCAAGTTAACTTTATCGGATTTGCAGTTGTAGAGCACCAAAAATATAACAAAATGTTTTATGTTCTCTTAAGCCAGAATAATATTGAAGAAATTCCTGTATATCATTAAAATTCAATGCCCAACTAAGCAATGCAAATAAAAGATATGGACTTAACAAAGATAGATCAGCTTAATGAGTATGAAGATATTATAGATATCATGAAAGGGAATTTAGACCTAAAAGTATCTGACTAGCTTACTTCTTTTAACATATTTCCATTTTCTTCTCCCTAAAATGCAACTAATTCTACTTTTAGCTTTTAGAGCAAGAGTCTAGAAAATATATCTTAAAAGTAAAGATATCAAAATGAGAGTAAGGTTAACTCTACAGATCAAATCTATGAATAAAACAATAAATAATACTGGCCAGCTGAAGCAATAAGTATGAAAGAAAGTACTAAATTAATAATAGATGACGATGGAATGCCTTAATAGATAGTGACTAGGATATTTTCACTTAAAGATGGTACTGAATAAAGGATTGTAAATATAGAGGCATTGTGAAATAATCCTTAATTTAATAATTTATAAAACTTAAAGTCTATAAAATTGAAATCTAATAATTTAATTGCAAATATATCATTATAATTCTAAATTTAATAATAAAAATTAATGGATAAACCCTATTTAGACAGTGGCTAAAGTCTCATCAATTCTAGGGATTAATACCCAAATTTTAGTAGTTAGCAAAGAAATTAAAGTGCAGGTGATTTCTAACTAAATTTCATGATGGGAAAAAACAGAATTGAAGTTGATAAAAAACTAGCTATGCTTGACCATATGCTTTCAAGTTAGGATTTTTTGGGATAAACAGAAAAAAGAGCATTGAAAAGAACACTTAGACAGCAGCATTTTAAATCCCTACTCATGAACAATTATTAAAGTGAGAGGAAAAATATGAATGGGAACTATGCTCTGACCTCTAGTGAACCATCATCGCCCAAATCATCTGTCTAATTTTTCCCCTCTTAGGCATTTGATTAATCAATTATCAACTTTGATTAGCAGCCTATTTACAATAACGCGCTAGGCTAAGCTCCATCATCTGCATTATCCACAACAATTAGTGATTTTTCAAAAGCAAAGATGAACAGATAAATGGGAAGACCGAATAATATGATGATTTAATCTCAAGGATTCATTCAGTATAATAACCTAAAACTTGATCAAAATTCAAGAAGTGCTTTACAAGAATAACTAAAAGAGCAAAATGCTTAGTAAATTGATCAAGAGAATTAATTTTTGCAAGCAGTCAAGTAAGAGCTTCTTAATTTGAAAAGCAGGCTTAAGATCGAGATAACATAGAAAATTTAGCTTATCAAAGAGGTAAACAGATATAAAAAATTGTAGGGCACTCAAAAACAAAATACATGTGATGCAGAGATTTAGACAGAAAATGAAAATGACCTGACTTTTTAGCAGATTTAGGATAAGAAATCTGACATAAATGAAGATGAAAATGAAGACAAAAATTCTGTATATCAAAATGTGAGCATCATACTTGAAGATCAAATACATTTTGACGACTAAACCTAAAATATTCATAGAGAATAACTGACTTAAACATTCCTAGAGCCTGGTATAGATAATGATAATAATTATAATCGGTTTTAATAGGATTATAGTAGGCCTTCAAGAGTTCCTTCATTCTAAATTGACCTTTAAAAAGCAATAAATGTCAATATTAAAGATGTTGATGAGTTCAGTCCCTCAAAGTGTTTACCTTAGTAAAATATGAATACATCAAAACTTTCAACATCAGTTATAAATATTCAAAAAAAGTATAGTTAAATTGGTGTAAGCAATTTATGTGTTTCAAAGCAGTCTGAATCTTCTGAATTGCATTTTGATGGATTAAGGCCTCCCACTTTTGACGAGTTTGACGTAGAAGATGTAATGTCAGAAATTAATAATTTTCCAAATCATAAAAGGGAAAAATCCTCATCATTTCATAACTTTGAGGAAATAAGAATTAGAAATTCTTCAGAAAAAAATTAGTTTCATGTAATTGGAAGTTAAAGGGGTAAGCGACCTATAGTTAATGCTAAAGAAATAGATAAAAATATTTATGATGGAAAATATTGGTTCAAAAAGCATGAATCCTTAATTAAGAAGCTTAGATTAACTCTAGACGACTCTGCAAAGCAGCATCTATAACTAAAGTAATTACAAGATGATAACAAAACTTTAAGGGATAAAATCAAGCATCTTACCACAGTTATCGAGAAATTTAAGATTAGAGATGATGGAATGGATGGAAACAGCAATAGTGCACTCTCAAAAATAAAAAAGAGTCCAATACTCAGACCCCAGTAACCTAGACGAGAGTCAGTGAGACTAAATGAGGCCTTCTAGATTGAAACAGTGACCAATTCTACTAAAGGATTTTTTCCAATGCTTTTCTAGCGAGAGTAAAACCCAGAAGATGAAAAGCAAAGCGATTTATTGGACGAAAATCTTTAAATATCAATAGATATGCGTCTAAGCTATGTAGACTCTGCTAAATATGAAGAAATACCTCAAAAGCGTCGCAAAAGCATCTTTTAAAAATTCATTAACAATAACCACATTTCAAGTAGAGTTGATAGTGTAGGTAGTAGTCATACCTAGCAATTACCTCATAACTTTTAAACTTTCCATGACAGTCTGTTTGTAATAGCTGAAGAGCCCTATTCTGTAAATGAGAGATCTAGTTTCAATAGAAATTCCTAGAATCTCAACGAAAAAGGTTCCGCTAATAAAAAGCTAAATGGCTAAAATAAGAAGCTAAAATGGGTAGAGCTTCATGATCTGAATAAATCTCCATTCGATAATTTGTGATTCACAATCAATCTAAATAAATCATAATAGTAAGAAGTGAAGTAAGTAAGCAAAAATGCAATTATAAATGACATGCTGTTAAACTACTTTATTCTATTTATCTACTTATATTATATCTAAAATCTCAATAAAATCTAAGTATTCCGGGGTTTTGGGGTTTTGGGGTTTTGGGGTTTTGGGG